CGCAGGGCCAAGCATGTGAGGGGTCGACCGACCCGGAGGGTCCGCCTCTGTTGATCTCACCTGACGTCTTGCCGGTTGCCCCGCCCCCAGGTTCTCCCGGAATGACGGGCTCGCGCACATCCCTCACGGGGGATGCCGAGGGTCCCGCCACTCCAATTGCGGACTCGCCTCGGATGGGACAGCGGCCACCGAATGGTCCGCCATCTGAGGTTGGCCCTTGTGACGGGCCTGCGGCAAGGACGCGCGCTAAAATGCGCAGACTCTTATAAAAACACTGGAACGCGAACAAGAAGTGAAAACGAAACGAAAATAAGAAAAAATTTTTATTTTTTTTGCGTTTTCTGGTACACTTTCGTGTGCTATTGTTACTGGACGCTGCGTTCGTGTGGCGCTCTTGGCGCGTTGTTGTATTATGGCTGTGTGTGTGTGTGCGTCTTGTGTGCGTGTTGTGTGTGCGCTGAGGGTTCCGGGAAATGTACATATCTTGCCTCTACGGATTTCGTATTTATTCGGGGGGGGGGGCGCGTCGGTTTGTTCTCCCTTTAGGGGCATTGTTAGTGTTGTTGTTCAATTCTCGTTCTGTTAAATGAAAAAATGGGGCACACACGGGGGGAGTCAAGGGGTAAAGATTCATTTGTTGAAATTGTTGCAGCCGGGACGGCTGCGAGCTATGCGGGGGGGAGTGATGTAGGGATGTTAGAGAGAGGGCCGTTATGCATGGCAGCCTATGGGAAAGAAACACAGTGGGCGGGGCTACGTGTGTGCACAGGGAGATGCCCTCTGCGACGTCCGAGCCAGACACCCTGGGGGGGGGCTGGTTCGGCGTTACGATCCCCCGGGGCCCCACCCCTCAAGGAGGGTTGGGTATAAAAAGGGGTCGTTATATGGGCTTAGGCAGTTATGTTATAGTTAAGCTAAGAAGTCGGAAGACGTCGTAGCTAGAGCCCTGGACTCCCCCTGATCGCCGCCCTTATCAGGGCCCCACGGGATCAGGCTCGAGCCAGCGGCGTGGTCCCGTGAACCAGAGCCAGTGCTCTGGGACTCCGGGTACCGTAGCCCGATTACCAGTGTCGGGCCAGACAGCCTCCCCTAGCTCTTTAGTGGAGGACTCAGGGGATAGGCTATGGATAGCTAGGGGTATTCCCTGAGTTATACGGGTGAGGGGGCCGCTACCCCCTCTAGTGCTGTCCTGTACTGGCAACTTGTTAAATAAATATACGTGTGCCTCAACTCCGTTGTCAAGCGTCCTCGACGGGTACTTCATATGTATGCGTGTGCATGTGTTTGTGTGTATGTATGTGTGTGTCTATGTATGTGTGTGTATGTGTTTCTGTGTATGTATGTGTGTGTATGTATGTGTGTTATGTGTCTGTCTGTGTGTCTGCATGTATGTGTGTGTGTATTGTGTATGTGTTTGTATGTGTTTGTGTGTTTACGCTCGCATTACACAAATGTGTTGCAGGTCTAAGGCGTTCCTTGCGCAGCATTGCCGCTTTATTATTTCAGTCGTTTACTGCCGTACGCACCCTGACAGTCGTGTGTGTCTGCAGCAAGCGCGTGTATGTGTACCTATGGACGCGCGCGCGTGTGTTGTGTAGGGGGAACGGTAGTGTAGTGCTTAGCGTGCTGCCTGTGTCTGTGTGTGTGTGTCTGTGTGTGTGTGTCTGTGTGTGTGTCTGTGTGTGTGTCTGTGTGTGTGTCTGTGTGTGTGCGTGTGTGGTGTGTGGGGAGCGGTAGTGTAGTGCTTAGCGTGCTGTCTGTGTGTCTGTGTGTGTGTGTGTCTGTCTGTGTGTGTCTGCGTGTCTGTGTGTGTGTCTGTGTGTGCGTCTGTGCGTGTGTGGTGTGTGAGGATCGGTGGGTGTAGTGCTTAACGCTACGCTGCGCTACCAACCCGGCGAACCCAGTTCGATTCCCGCTCACGGCCACCACCGGTGACCATTGTTTGAACCTCCCCTAGGTCGACTCTGCCTCAAACGAGTAACTGCTGTGGCGTATTAACATCGCCACTGGGGAGACAAAGGCGGCCGGCCGTGGTGGATACAAGTCCCGGGCGAAGCCGGGTAGTACAGCTAGTATATAATATATGCACTGTCCTTGAAGTTGATTGGTCCACACCCGAGACAGCTTTCCTTAGAGCCTAGTCTCACATGGGTTGGACCAGATGACGCCAAAAGGCACACAACTCAAAGACAATGCACCATCAGAGTATGAGAGCTCGGGGTAAGCATTTACACCATTGGAACCTCATTTGCTAGTATAAAATATGATAATTGGTTTTTTACCCTTCTATCTGGCAACGAAACTGACACTTTTTTACAAGGAGTCATGTTTGCATAGACCACAATACCTGCAGCCATAATGCAAACAAAAAACATAACTCTGATAATATATGCACTGTCCTTGAAGTTGATTGGTCCACACCTGAGACAGCTTTCCTTAGAGCCTAGTCTCACATGGGTTGGACCAGATGACGCCAAAAGGCGCACAACTCAAAGACAATGCACCATCAGAGTATGAGAGCTCGGGGCAAGCATTTACACCATTGGAACCTCATTTGCCAGTATAAAATATGATAATTGGTGTTTTACCCTTCTATCTGGCAACGAAACTGACACCTTTTTTACAAGGAGTCATGTTTGCATAGACCACAATACCTGCAGCCATAATGCAAACAAAAAACACAACTCTGATAATATATAATATATGCACTGTCCTTGAAGTTGATTGGTCCACACCTGAGACAGCTTTCCTTAGAGCCTAGTCTCACATGGGTTGGACCAGATGACGCCAAAAGGCGCACAACTCAAAGACAACGCACCATCAGAGTATGAGAGCTCGGGGTAAGCATTTACACCATTGGAACCTCATTTGCTAGTATAAAATATGATAATTGGTTTTTTACCCTTCTATCTGGCAACGAAACTGACACTTTTTTACAAGGAGTCATGTTTGCATAGACCACAATACCTGCAGCCATAATGCAAACAAAAAACATAACTCTGATAATATATGCACTGTCCTTGAAGTTGATTGGTCCACACCTGAGACAGCTTTCCTTAGAGCCTAGTCTCACACTACTATACACTACTATACACTACAACGAAAGGGTAAAGGTGGAACACGCTACAGCAAAATTACTATAGTGAATAACTCACCCCCCCCCTCTTGCATAATGAATAGATGTTATCTATCAGCTTAACTCAGCCTAGCATCCCCCCCCCCATGCCCCCCCCTACCTTGGCTCCCCCCCCCCCCCCTCTTACCCGATATAGTCGCGTTTCTCTATTAGCTCTCTTCACTTACTATAGTGACTTTGGCTGTAACAGTTCCTCCTGAAGGCGGAAGCTTGTGTTGCCTCCGAAACGTCGTGATTTAATTTAGTTTTCATTTATTTTATTTTTTACCTAAGTGACTTTACCGAAAAACCAGAGAGTATGAATCCTTGCAGTCACGAAAGCATCAAATCTAGAAAGTGACAATATATTTGCAAAACGTAGTAAAAGGGATTGCTGTGAATCGGGGTATGACTGTATTGTTGCGCTTTTTTAGCCAGTAAAGCTTCACCGACTCTTATGGCACTTTTTCAGGGCGTCCTGCTGAGTTTTTATAATTGGGAACGATGTTGCTGCTGCGTGTAACCCCAATTGAGTATTTTCCAGCTAACTTTTCAACATTGGGTTGTTTGGCCAAAACCAGTTACATTGTGTCTTCTTTCCGCTATGGGAATAAATGGGCAAACCCAGAGGAAATCCATGTAGAACAGGTGGAGAACATACAGACTCACACAGTAAAGTGCTCAAGTTGGGAATCCAAACAAGTTAGGAATCTAACTACTGGACATCTGTGAAAAATAGCTGTATAGCTCATCGGATTCCTCCAGTATAAATACAGATTCTGATTCTGCCTTTTACTGTGAGGCACCAGTGTTACCACTGCACCAAGCTTCCGCCCAACATGATTACCGCTTTGTGAAAAGTGATTGTCTCAAAGAAGACTGGCTCCCGTCATCGGAATGTGGAATGCTTTATGAGGCGATAAGACAACCCCATTGCTCATTTGAGTGAGAAGATGATGAGTTTCAGAATTCACATCCTGATCTTCTTGTTAGCCCCAACCTGGGTCTCCCGCTAGGCCTCGGCAAGGTAAGGTAAAAGTTAAAAGGTAAAAACAACGAGCCTACCTTTACCCTACCTTTTACCTTATCAATCACTCTACCCTTACCTTTTACCCTTTAGCAGGTAAGGTACAAGGTAAAAGGTAAAAAGCAACGAGCTTACCTTTACCCTACCGTTTACCCTTACCCCATACAAATTACCCGTTTACAGGGTAATTACTAGGGAACTACTACACATGAACAAGGTTTATAAAGTAAATGCTCGGTAGATCGCTTTAATCATATAGAATACTCTCGATTATTCCAATTTTACACGCTTTCTTTTAACTCACTCTTTCTGTCGTTGTCGTTATTGTTGTATCCTCAAATCTTGAAACTCATTTTTTACCCACTTCCTAATGTGGTATCGACTGCAAACTTGGTATACTTAGGTCATACTGATGACAATACTATATTCTATAATAAAAAAATCTATATATTTTTAAACAATCTTTTTTAGATGTTATGTTTCAGCTTGGGTCTAATTGTCCACGCTCAACTGACGTTGGCTGTAATTGGCCACGGTCCCTTACGTTGTGGCAAGCTTCGGGGCCACTTCCTGGAGTCGTGGAGTTCTGCCATTACTCGTACATTTCATAAAAGCGTGTTTTTAATCAAGTTTGTTTTAATATTACTTATTAAATGTAGGCCACGGACTGCGCGACGGAGCTTTTAGCGGTAAACAATGTACCGTATTTACCGGGTAATACTTTGCGCTACCTTTACCCTACCGGGTAATTCTTCTGAGCTACCTTTACCCCTACCCTTTACCTTACCCCTTGGCATGTCGACATCTTTACCCTTTACCTTTACCCTTTTACCCGGTAAAAAGGGTAAATTACCTTACCTTGCCGAGGCCTATCTCCCGCATAGAACACAGTAGAGTCTCAATGTCTGATACCTGGTAAAATAGAAGACGTAAAATCACTTGAACTCACCTTGTTAACAAAGGACATGAATGACAATCGCTAACAGATATAATAGTTGTGAATGAGCTCTCCCCTAGTTCGACAAAGCTCAAGGGGCTAAGAAAAGGGCATTAATCACAAGCGCTACTAAATCGCATGGGGCTCTTGCGAACACAGTTTTAAATAAAGGTTACCAATTAGATTAATCTCAATTGGTTATCTCTTGGTTAAAGCAGGGCGGTAGATTACATAAATATATGTATGTTGAACTTATTTCGCACCATACGCAGCCAACCGTGCTAATAGGAGGTGCGGATGGATGTTGTGAAACTCAGAATGAGAATATGTATTGATCCTGGAGAAATCCGATGAGTTATGAAGCTCTTTTTCACAGTTGAACCTTATGGCGGTACCCCGGGGCACCATAGTATCCCGGCTCTCGCACAATGTCCGTGTTGCAGTCATTTTTAGTCTGTTGATGGTCGGCGATGTGGCAATCGACTCATCTCGACGAGCTGTACTCACGATGCACCACTACGGTGCGTACGAGCGTTCAGGGTTTCGGCGCAATCGACCTCGGTGCGTGTCGACATCGCGGAATAGCACCGATTTCGGATTGATTTGTACTCCAGTCGCGAAGTTAAGCACACCCCTGGAAAAAAACGTATCCCAGAAGTAAAATATTTAATTGCCTCGGCCATTTATTATATTTTGAGACCCCGGGGTACCGCCATATGGATCAGTTGTCCAGTCTGGGCGGGTTAGAAAGTTACAACAATTAAAAACACGATCGTAGTGAAAATTATAGGAAAGCAAAGCAAATGACAAAAAATAAATACGCAACAAAGTATACACACACGTTCTAATTGCATAAGCACAGACCGCACCAAGACAACGACACAGTCCCTCAATACAACTGCAAGGTTCGAAGGTGCCATAACCCTGAGCTCGCTAGAAGGCAATACACCAAGTGGGCTAATCGCTATCTGTTTCCATCTGTACGGGGATAGAGCGTTGCCCCCTCGCGCAAGGCATGGGGTTCCTCCTCCCCACGTGTACAATAAACGCTCGCGTCACGAATTGTCTGAAAACGTCTCAAAATAAAATCCCAATGCAAGAACCCTCCCGAAAATGAGAACAGTAAATGTAAAATGTTAACCAGAAGTGATAATGAATCCCAAAGGCCTAATGGATCCCAAAGCCTCTCACCTTGGTTCAAAATCAGAATATTTAATTCATATTGGAGGAATCCACCTAGTTCAGAACGAGAATTATTTCATTTATACTGGACGAATCCGATGAGCTATAAAGCTCTTTTTTCACAGACGTTAAGAGACACCACAAGTAGGAGAATCTCAATGGGCGTATAACTGGTTGGATAAACGGCATCACTTACACGAGAGACAGTGAGTGTCGTCAATGTGCACGATGATGGCATGAGATGGCATCAAGCCCGCCAGAAGTGATTGATGATGATCAGTGTCCCCTCTCACCTGCTCAGCACAGAGGCGGGCGGCGCAAGACAACGAACACCCAGCCACGCACACCGCGTAAAGGGCGATTCCTCTCTCACCTCTCACTCGAATGGCGTCCGTGGGCAACGCCGCCCTCATCACGGGGAGGAAGAGGTCGCTGTCGCGTTCTAACCCTCCATGAGACGAGTCGCCCGCCTCCAGTCTGAAGACCGCGGAACCTCAACGAGGGGGGGGGGGCACTACCACCCCGCTTGGTGCGCGCGCTCCTCTAGGGGGGCGTCACGTGAGCGCGCCGTGACGTCACGCCGCTGTGGTTTACCGGTTGCCAGGCAACCCCAATTGGGCTTCTTGCACATTTATTTTAATACTAGATTTTACTACCCGGCTTCAGTTTTTCAGTTTCATTTATTTGGTATAGTACTGTGAGCCATTCGGCTCTTGAATCGGGTGCAACCGCAACAAACAAACAACTAAAACACGAACAAGAAAACATCTGAAAGTGACTATGCGCAAACAGAAAAATCCAGGAAAAAACTGCAAAAAATCTTCCAGAAAAAAGCACCGTACACCAACACTGTGCAAAAATCCCAGTGGGATGCAAGTCAAACAACAACAACCACAAGACAACTTAGATTAAAGTCATCATTCTAACTCCGTACTACAACAAACAAACATGGCCGAACCAAAAAACTTTTCGAAATCACCACGCCCGGTCGCCTTTGTCTCCCCAGTGGCGATGTTCGTTTGAGGCTGAGTCGACCTAGGGGAGGCCCAGGGCCGGTTCAAATAAGTGTTATTGGTGGTGGCCGTGAGCGGGAATCGAACTCAGGTCGCCGAGTTCGTAGCGCAGCACACTAACCACTACACTACCGCTCCCCCCACACACACAGACACAAAGACAGCGTGCTAACCACTACACTACCGTTCCCCCCACACACACAGACAGCGCGCTAACCACTACACCCACCGCTCCCCCCACAACAACAACCGCCATTCGCCACTAAGTGGCGGTGACGTCACCACGACGCTTATGCCAGGCCAAGTGCACCTTGAGGCCACGTGAAGTGTCGAACGCCCACTGGCAGGAGGTCACGGGGCAGACCCAGCAGGTGCCACGGGTCGACTGACCGAGATGACTGAGATGACTGGCTGATGCACCACCTGTACCCCCTACTGTACCAACTTGCTGTGCTTTAGTCACCCGGCGATCCGCTCGTTGTTGTGAGCGTCGCTCCTCCGCCCTCCGTTGTTGTTGGAGGGCGACTCCCTCCAACTGCCCAGTAGCGTCCTTCACGAGCCTTCTCCACAGAGGCCGATCTTGACACCGCTGGTACCAGTCATCGGCAAGTCCACTCAGCTCCACGTCCTCCTGTACCACATCACTCCATCTCTTATCTAGCCCGTGCCGCGCCCGTTTAGCCCCCTCGATCCGGCCGAACAAAAGCTGTTTAGGCATACGGTGGCTGGGCATGCGGGCTACATGACCCAGCCAACGCAGCCTTGCCTGCCGGAGGAGCTCACCGATGGGAGATTGCCCAGATCTTTCAAGGATTTGTGAGCTCCTCACACAATCCAGCCTGGTCAAACCCAGGATGGATCGTAGGCAGGCCAGCCTAAATGTTTCCAACCGGCGAAGATGCTCCATTAGGGGTGTCCACGTTTCGCAAGCGTATAGAATGGAGGGAATGACCGTGGCCGAGAAGACCTGAAGCTTCGTGCGGAGCGACAGACCAGGTAGCTTCCACACAGCGTTACGCAACCGATGAAAAGATATTGCCGCTCGACTGATTCGGAGTGAGACCTCTGCTGTTAAACTGGAGCCGGTCATAAGCACACTGCCCAGGTATGGGAAACTCTCCACTCTCTCCACTACTGCCCCATCGCCGATTGGGAGTTGTGGGGGTGGAGTGTCCGATGGTACAAAATACCCAGGCAGGTGCTTAGTTTTGGTGGGGCTGATGGTAAGGCCCCACCTCTTAGTGGCACGCTCCAGTCTCAGCAGCAGCGTCTCCAACTCCTCTTCTGAATGAGCAGCTATTACCAAATCATCGGCATACATAACGTGGTTGACCAATAGGGAGCCATCCCTTGATCGCACCCGGGTGTCGATCAGCCTCCCATTATATCTGTACCAGATGGAAATTCCCCCGGTACAGCTATTGAAAGCTTGTTAAATAATGTGGGAGCCAGAGGACATCCTTGTCGCACCCCAAGGTGTACAGGGAAAGGCTCTGACTCCCGGCCACGTAGTTTTACCCGGGCCCGCTCACCATCATGAAGGTCCTTAATGATCGTGAGCAGAGGGTCAGGGACTCCGAAAGCACGAAGAACAACCCAGAGCCCAGGCCTACTGATGGTATCATAGGCCTTGACCAGGTCAATAAAGCAGAGATGTAGGTCTTGTTGAAATTCCCTACACCTCTGCTGTAGCAGACGGACAGAAAATATGGCATCTGTGCAGGACAGCCCTTTCCTGAAACCGCATTGGGGCTCCGCAAGCCTCTCCTCAGCGTGCCTAGCAAGGCGATGTTGAATAATCCTTGCCAGGACCTTTCCCGGCACACTGAGGAGTGAGATGCCCCAGTAGTTGTTACAGTCTGTGCGGTCCCCCTTCTTAAAGAGGGGGACCACCAGGGCATCCTTCCAATCCTGCGGAACCCGTCCAGTGGTCCAGACTGTTGTTATGATGTCATATAGGGCAGTCTGTGCAAAAAACGCCACCCTCCCTGAGCATTTGGCTTGGGAGATCATCTCTGCCCGGTGCCTTTCCTGGTCTCAGACTCTGGATCGCCTTCAGTACTTCCTCAACAGATGGCACCTCAGCCAGCCACTCACAGGGGGTGACCTCTTCCAATATTTGAGGCACCGCAGCCCTAGCAGGGTTCCCCCCACACACACAGACATACAGACAGCGCACTAACCACTACACCCACCGCTCCCCCCACACACACAGACAGCGCACTAACCACTACACTACCGCTCCCCCCACACACACAGACACACAGACAGCGCGCTAACCACTACACCCACCGTTTCCCCCACACACACGCGCTTGCTGCAGACACACACAACTTTCAGGATGCGTACGGCAGTAAACGACTGAAGTAATAAAGCAATGCTGCGCGAAGAAAAAATATACAAAAGTCTATTTTTATCATTTTTGCATGGTATACAGTCTGGAAAGTACCCATATGGCAAATTTCAAGTTTGTTGCATGTCGGTAAGTATGCTAAACATTTTGAACAGACACATTCACAAATTTCCTTTTTATATACAGTATATAGATTCCAAAAAATGCTAGCGCTTTTCATCAAGGATCTCAAAGCACTGGTCAGAACACAGCAGCAGCCACGTAACATAAAAATAATTATATTGTTATATTTTGAGTGAAATCAGAACTTGTATATATACTGGAGGAATCCGATGAGCTATAAAGCTCTTTTATCACCGATGTGCAGTAGGAGCATGGGGTAAGAACGTTAACAACAACGATCAGTACAACACACGATAATAGTGCACAGTACAAGAAAAAGTTATTCACGTGCTGAGGTGTGGCTATTTTATTTGTGTAATGCGAGCGTAAATGGGGTTGTTGCTGGGCTCAGGTTCAATCACACGGCCCGGGGTATTGGGGGGCGGAGCCTGATCTGCGGGGCGTGTGGGAGGGGCCACCGTTCACCTCGGCTCCAATGGGAGGCGAGGTGAATGGGGACGGAGCCAGCGGGGTAGTATGGGAAGGCCGGATCTGAGCATCTGGAAGAGGAGGAGTCAGGGTCACGTGGGGGGAATGTATATAAGTAGGAGCCCGGAAGAGATCGGGGCAGTCGGGGAAGTTAAGAGTCTGAGCCAAGTTGGCTGGTGAGGAAAGATCCGTGCCATCGGCCACGTGGCCGAAGGACCTCTGCACGCCGTCGGCCAGCGGTGTGCGGAGTGCGGGAATAGAGGAGCTAACGGAGGAGCGTGCGTGGCACGCAAGAGGGAGCGTGCGCGGGGGCGCACGCAAGACGACACTGGTCCGAGAGGAGGCCAGTGGGGGTGCGGAGAAGAACCTGAATAAAAGACAGACGGAGACCAGCAGTGCCTGACGGAGTCTTTTATTAAATTTGTATTACTACCGAATATGTGGTTAACTGGAATAGTAAATGCATGATTATTTCTCCATAATAAAGTTTTTTTTGGGTTAGATCGCGTAAATAAAACAGGACCCTGCGGGGTGGGCTGGTAGGAATAATACTAATACCGGTACAGGGATATCGACCGGGTATAGAGGAGTTAAAAAGAAAATGATTTGTGCATGGGGGGTGAGCGATGACGTCCACACCCCCTCCTCCCCACTGACTCGTGCGCACACAGAGCAATGACGTCAACACCCCCTCCCCACTGACTCGCGCGCCCACAGAGCGATGACGTCCACACCCCCCTCCCCACTGACTCGCGCGCCCACAGAGCAAGGATTGCAACAGGCGATGTCATTGGCTGTGCCGGATGCGACGGCCATCTTGTTTAGTTCATTTAGTTCACGGATCGCAGGGGGAGCGGGCGGCCATTTTGTCAGACAGACGGACGGCCTCGCGAAGCCTGTCGCAGTAGGCCTCGCGAAGCCTCCTGCACTAGGCCTCGCGAAGCCTCCTGCAGTAGGCCTCGCGAAGCCTTCCCTGCAGTAGGCCTCGCGAAGCCTTCTCTGCAGTAGGCCTCGCGAAGCCTTCTCTGCAGTAGGCCTCGCGATGCCTTCTCTGCAGTAGGGCTCGCGAAGCCTTTTCCGCAGTAGGCCTCGCAAAGCCTGCCGCACTAGGCCTCGCGAAGCCTGCCGCACTAGGCCTCGCGCCGTGCTTTTCGTGCACAAATAAGGCGATTAAATGTATCTTGTCTCTGTGTTAATAAATGTATCTTGTCTCTGTGTTAAAAAAAAACGTGCTGCGTTTCAGTAAAGTAAATTTGAAGCGAAGTTTATTATTACACTTGTTAAGCCAGGAAAGCCCCACTGAGTCAAAAGGTTTTTGTAGGGTCCTGCCAAGTGTTTGCAGTAGGGGGCGATGTTGCTACACCAAATCGGACGATACGAAGGGAGAGATTGAGGCCTAATTCTAGGCTTTAGGCCTAGCTGTAGGCTTTAGGGCGCTGTGAGTTAATTTTTAATTTAAATGTTTTAATGATTTATGTAAAAGCTTTAAATTTAAATGTTTCTATTTAAAAACATGAGGGAATGTAACATTGTTAAACATAACTCCCTTTC